TTGCTCTACAAAATAATTTGTTATTGTACTTTAATAAGACTTGTCTTGCGACAAAGGGGCAAAAAACATAAAAAAAATACATTAATTAATATTTCATCATTGTAGAAAAAGTACAAGAAATACGCACATTATTTCTTCATTATTCTAGATAATCAATGAAATAATAATTAATAATAAATCATTTTCCTAACATATTTTTTCCTCTTTTTTTCACTATGTGGCAAGTGTCTTTTATATAGATAAGAATTGTCTTTTAAAATGATCATGTCTATTTACTTAAGAGTTATATCCATTCATTTAAAAGATATTGAATTTGAATTCAAAATAAATTTCTGAGAGTTATGTCATTTAATAATGGGTGGGGTTCTAGTGCCACTGGAGTATGGTGCCACTCCAGTGCCACTGGCATTTTGGAGCACTTCCGGTGCTCCGTTCGCAAAATTGACGGTTTCTACCTCCCCTAACCCACCCCATAAACCCCCACCCTACCCCGCCCCTGCACCCCCACCCCAAATCCGTCGTAAGCCCCCCATCCTTTAACAATTCAAGTTAAAGATTATATCTATTTATTTTAAATTCAATTTGAATTCAAAATAAATCTTCAACAATCCTCCTCCATTTATTTTGAATTAAAAAATCCACAAAACTTCCCAAAAAGGCAAATCTCAAAAATCCACGTATAAATGGAAGTGTCATGCAGATTGAAATTCCACTTAGAGTAATATACTTTACAATATTTCGGATCACAAAAGTAGACTAATCTTTACACTATGTAACCGTTTTTAAATATTGAAGGTATTACACAAATAAATTAACTTAAAGTACAATAATAACTTGACACTTTCTCTTCAGGCACGTGTCCATATCCATTCGTGAACATAAAGTTGAAAATGGTCATTGTCTATTTACCTAGGACAATGCTACGTTCACAAACAGGATTGGTCACAAATTCCACAAACTTACTATTTATGGTTTAAATTCTCATTTTAAAATTATTTTAGACTATTTAATATTTTTTATAGAAATTCAAAAATGGTAGATTTGTGAAGTTTGTGATGATTGTGTTTGTGAACCAATCATTTCTCATTTACCTAGGAGTTGTATCCATTCATTTAAAACATCTTCAATTAGAATTCAAAACAAATTTCCAAGAGTTATGTCATTAAAAAATGAATAAAATTCTTGAAAATAAAAGAATCACATTTGAAAATAAAACTCTTGAATATATACTCCCTCCGTCCCGCTATATTCGTTTACTTTTGACTTTTGGAACTGTTCATCTAAGCACTTTGACTCATCAAATTCTCTCAATGTGTATATATATATATATATATATATATATATATATATATATATATATATATATATATATATATATATATATATATATATATATATATATATATATATTCATTACCAGGAAATATCAATTGAATTGGATTGGAAATTTGGATGGTTGCTCTGATTCCTCTGAACACCCTAAATTGTACCGTTTGTCTTTGTTCTTTCCTTGTGTTCGCTCTTCACCCTTCAGTTTTGCTCTGTGCTCTGCGTTTCTCTTTTCTGGTTTTGCACCCCTCCCTTCTGCTCCTGCTGACGCTGCATTTTGGATCGACCGTCGGTGGGAAGGGAGAGGTTCACAGCTGCTGTGCCGTTGTAACACTGTTTACCGCTACTGAATTCCGGCGAAGGAAGGAGGACGAAGTTGCTGACCTCGCTACTCCTGCTAGTCAGAAGTGCCCCTAGATTTTAGTTTCTAAAATTATGATTTGGCCCATTATTCTCAATTGATTACAAATTTAGCCCTTCTTTATGCTTGACCCCAAATTAATCCAAATTTATTAAACTTATAAATTGATGATAATTATGTGTCGAACTGAAATTATGAAATAGGCCACGTGGTATATCTAGAAGGTTATGACATAAATCAAATTGATAAGGTTATTGTGATCACCAATCAGTTAGGATTTGAGATTTAGGCTCGATAAGGCGAGTTTCGCATAACTCACAAGTCTTGGGTTAAAAACATTCGTACGGGGTGATTAGCCTACCTAAGGATTTCTTGGTAGGGACTCCAACTCGCCCATTGAGAATTCTCTTTGGGTTGAGCAAGTGTGGCCTCGGGGGATCCGTTCGAGTAGGGGTGAGCATGGTACGGTATTTCGCTTGTACCGATACCGTACCAAATATTTCAGTTCGGTATGGGATTTTACGCTGTACCGATCCCGTTCCCGAAGCATCGGTTCGGTATGGTTCGGGATGGTTCGGTATCGGTTTCGGTACAAATCGGGATGAATATATACGTACTTAGTTTACATCATAAAATGTAACAAAACCTTTTATTTTTGGGAAATTAAAAGTACATTTAACTAAAGAAAGATAAAAAAAATTAAAAATGAAAAAATAAAATACAAGTAATGCTTATGAAAGTTAGTTTATATTTCACATACTAAGGAGAACGAGTGATAATAAAGTATTATTTCAAATATTTTTTAATATTCTTATACTCATCTACAAACATGTGACTTTTATTAACATTTCATTGACTTTTATTAACTTTTATTTCTTAAATCAATTATCTAATATATAATTGTATTATACAATGACTTTTCTATCAAATTTGCACTCAAGGCTTCCACAAGCCATGAACCAACCGTGGAAGAGTCAAGTGACGAAGACAACCCGTTTAGGCTCGTTATAAAAAAGTTTCACAAGTTCATGCAAAAGGAAAATGGATGCAATGCAAAAGGCAAAGAGGATCATCCAAATGCTATGGGTGTGGTAAAGTAGGGCATATCAAACAAAAACCCCAAACACCAAGAACAAGAAAGAGAAGAAACCGTTCAAAAAGCACCACGCCTACATCTCTTGGGGAGGAGATTCCGGCAACAAATTCATTGATGGTGAAGAAGACAAAAGCACTAACATGGCTCATGAAGAACCACCCGAAGAGGTATGTATCATTTCTTCTAAAGAGCGTTATTTCTTTGATGATGTGAAAAATGCCTTTGATGAACTCTATAAAGAATTTGTAAATGCTTCCATAACCAACAAATATTTGAAGAAGCAATTTTCCTCCTTGGAGGAAGAAATTGAAAAACTTAGAAAAGATAATAAAAAACTAAAAAAAGAAGCTAAGTTTTTCAGAAAAAAGTGCCGACAATCCGAGATTTCAAAATGTGAATCTTGCATATTACTCAAAGAGAAAAATGCAAAACATGCGAAGGTACTTTAAAGAAGTTTAATACTTCGCCCACAAATCTCAATAATGTTCTTGATTAGTTGTAATCTTGTAAAAATGGCATAGTTTTTGTAAATGAAAGTAATGACAAGGAAAAGGTTGAACTAATAACTAAACAACTAAGGCTCGGCCTAGGATAACTAAAACTAATCCTAATAGGCAACCTAGAATTGTTAGGAATACTAGACCACCCAGAAGGAACACTAGGTCTATAAATGGTCATTTAAGAAACCCTTAAAACAATATTTCAAACTATAATAAATTCAAAATACTACAAGAAATTTGCAAATTTGCGATGCCCCAATTTTCGGTGTACAATACAACAGCATTTGCGACGGTTGATGTCATTGCTAATTTGTGCGACGGCCTTTGCGAGGGAATTAAAACTCCTTGCAATTACTGTAATACCCTGATTTGAAAATAAATGAATTGGAGAAAGAAAAAGCTCAAAAAGGATTGACAGTACTACTCATACCAACAAAGTGCATCATCTTTTTCAAGAGCTCATCACTCAAAAACTCCAAAGTTAAGCGTGCTTGACTTGGAGGAATTCTAGGATGGGTTACCCCTTGGGAAGTTTCCTAGGCGTACACGGGTGAGGATAAAGTGCGCACTTGTGTTGATTTGTGGGGTCAGTTTACAATTCTATGAGCAGACACTTACGATTAGGGTGGAGCCGGGGTGTTACAAATGGTATCAGAGCAACCCTGCGACCGTGACGGGCCAACGAGCATAGTTCAATTCACATAACAGAGAAGATCTAGGGGTTTGAAAAAAAGGATGCAACGAGGATATTGAATTCCTAAGTGAGGGTGAATGTAATACCCTGATTTGAAAATAAATGAATTAGAGAAAGAATTGAAAAAGCTCAAAAAGGATTGATAGTACTACTCATATCAACAAAGTGCATCTTCTTTTTGAGAACTCATCTCTCAGAAACTCCAAAGTTAAACTTGTTTGACTTGGAGCAATTCTAGGATGGGTGACCCCCTGAGAAGTTTCCTGGACGTGCACGAGTGAGGATAAAGTGCGCGGGAAAGACTTGTGTTGATTTGTGGAGCCAGTCTATAATCCTATGAGCAGATACTTACGGCCAAGGTGGGGCCAGGGTGTTACAATTACAATGGCGGGAAGCTTGCCACTAACTTTCTACGATGGCCTATGCGATAGTTAGATCCATTGTAGACGAAATTATATTTAATCATATTAAATTATGCCATTCTGGGAAAGGTTTGGCGAAGGAGAATGTCTGTCATGTGAAATGCAACAAACGAGATCTTTTTCTAAGTTTTTTGCAACGTGCATCTGCGACGGGACCATATTCTTAAATGCCCACAATGTTTGCAAATTCCCATAACAATGCAATTTATACAAATAAACAGATTTAAGTTTTTTGTTATCTCTCCTCGGACATTCAAGTTATGATTTTTGTAAAGTCAATTGTACTTGGTCTTGTGTGACCACAAGTTATGTGAACCACACAAGGCATACTATTAGACGAAATGAGACACTTGCAAGTTACATTTCACTTACTAAAAATGGAAATAGATATTAAAAAAGAAATTGGGGGTGCTGGGGGGAAGGGGGAGAGGTTATTGTAAATTCTGTATCATTTGGATTGCCATTAGCATAAATTATATTTGGATCGCCAAGGTTAAAGCGACACCCATTTTGTGTCCCATATGATATCACTATCGGTCCAATTACGGGTCATACAATGTCCCGTTCAAAAAACCCCCGGTAAACCCTCTCATCTAAGCCCGACCAAAACCCACCTCCGTCAATGAACCCAAAAAAAATTAGTTGGCTTTTTGGTAAAAAAAAAAAATAGTTGCCACTAATCCATCCGAAAGTTGATGAACTGGGCATGCGATGGTAAGTACTTGGGCACTCCAAAACAAAATTTCCCATCCTGAAGGCATAGTTTATTTGGCTTGTCAAACTTGTTAAATGAGTCTCCGAGTTGTATCCTACAAAAATTAGCTGCTTTTCATAAAAATATAGGCCCATTTTCCTGCACTTAAAGAAGCCACCTGGAAAAAATAAAAAAAGAATGGATAGACCAAAGAAAAAGGATGTTTCAAATACAATAACCAAAAAGAATTTGAAAGAATTTTCCTGGAACAGATAGGGGTTACCTGGGCATCTCAGGCCGGGTACCGACAGTCAAGGTAACATTTTTGTGCCCTACGCTTGGTCTTACAATTTCCAACTTCACTGATTTCCCTTCTTTGTCCCACAATGCATCAACCAGCTGTTGAAAAAGAGATGGGGAAGGGGGTTGTTTGAAGTGAGACCACTTCACATAATTAACGGGACAGAAACATTGGTTTAACTTATTCATTTGACTAATGTTTCACAAATAATGTAAGATGACATACCTCAAGCTGGCTCCCAATTTCAGTTTCACCACATTTGATTATAACATCACCAATGCATAGACCAGCAACACTGGCAGAAGACTTTCGCACCAACTATTTGACAATAAAAGACTTAAGTGTGAAGAGAAACTCGAGCAGTTATAAATAAATTAGGAGGGAAACTTTAAAAGGTTGCGCAATTTCTTACTCCCTCCGTCCCCCTGTATTAGTCCACATTTGACTTTTGGAACTCAAGTAGATTCGTGAAACTGAGTAGTTTAAGAGAGTTACACATTCGGATTTATATCAGTACACACTAGAACAAACTAAACAGAATTGTATATCTAATAATTATATATTAAAAATATTAAAAAATTATATGTTTAATGTTCTATTTTACCTAATTTCTTCACGTAACCTACTACACATTTTTACTTTCACCTGTTTATGAAGGGGGCAGAGGGAGTATCATGTATCATACCTGCCTCCTCTTCTTCGCCCTTGATGTAGTTTTCCTTGTTCTCGTCATTGTTTTGGACCTCTTTCTCTGCTTAGAATGCACAACCAAATAAATCACCATTTCATCCATGTGCACCCATCTCCTCGATCTTTATACAAACTAAGATACTTCAATTTGTAAACTTGAAAACGTGATCACACTGAGTTTCTCCAGTTTCTTATCCTTCATTTTTGTCTATAGATGCCACAAATTTTCCCAAAATTTTGATGGATCCAATGTATCGCAACGTCTAGGCTTAGGAGTACGATGTAATACAGAAAAATGGCTCATTAAGAGATATGTGCCTTCTATATACTGCAATGGTAGTCAGCCACTACAACTTTTAATGCCATTTTCATTATGGTCCATTGGGAAACAGCATATCTACGTTGTTAACATGGGGAAAGGTTGTATATATCAGCCCACTACCCTGCTCTGGGCAAGAGCCCTTGACAGTTTTAGACTAGGTTGCACTCGGATTGGGATGGGGACGGAAAATGACATTTTTTTAAATAACAGAATGCGAGGACGGCAATGATTTGGCCGCAAAAAAATATTAAAATACTCCCTCCGTTCTCAAAAACACTTCCTCTTTCATTTTTTCTACTTCTAACAAAACACTTCCAATTTCTATTAAAAAACCACTTTTACCCTTACTTTTTCATACTTTACCTATCACATCATATTTTTTCTCTAATAATCTATCCATCACATCATACTTTTACCCATCACATTAAGGGCAAAATTGAAAGTCAACTACAATTTCACACTTCCTTATATTTACACTTGGTCAAACTAGGCCCTATTTGAGAACGGAGGGAGTATTAAATATAGGAGCATAAATTTAAGAAATCATACTTAATTAGCATAAAAATATTGTTTTGCATAGATTGTAAAATTAAAAAAGCAAAACAAATAAACAAGTACTCCAACAAGCCAAACGCAAGGATTACAACAAGAATTTAAAATTTAAAACAATGACAAGAATTAAAACAGCAAGAAAAAGAATGAGCAAAGTGTAGAGAGAACACAGTAGATGATATAGAAATTAATCAAACAATAAATAAAATTAAAATAGCAATGACATATAAATAAAAAATACATGGTCAGTATAAATAAGCCCGTAAATTAACAAAAACATAAAAATGATATGAAAGTGACAACACATGGAATTAATTGAGCATCATAGAGCCACTGTACTCTATAAAAAAAATTAATTGAATTATGATTGGGAAAGAAAAATATTTGGTAGAAGAAGGAAGAATTATACCTATAGAGTGTAGACTATAGTCGTATAGGCGTATACTCATATACAGACGGGCAGACTGACAGTCCCGGCAGAAGCTCTGGAACGTCTCCGGTAAGCTCTGCAATCGCCAGTAGTAGAAGAGTCGCAGACTCACAGATGGTCCCTCCCTCACATTATATACAAGAATTAAAAACTCTCTAAATTCTATATCTAGGGGCTAGTGCTAGTGGGCTAGTACGGGTCTACGGTAAAAACTTAAGTTTCAAAGTTTGACTTAAGTTTTAGATGCCACATGATGATGGAAAACATGCACACAACTGCGACGAAAAACATGCCATCACAAGTCTTATAAGTAAGCAAACTGTATAGGAGCCATGCCTCGCAGAGTACAGTATAAGGTCCGGAGCCTTCAAGAAACATCCATATCGGAACATCAAAATAAAATACTCAAGATTTGGATCATAAAAGTATGCCTAATTCCCTAAAGAAGGAACTCGAAGACCTTAGAGAGTTAAATTTAGTTGATCCGCCATGAAAAAAGGGGTCAGCTAAATCTGTAGATATGTTAAGATATATGCCTTCAGGTAGGCATGCAAAGTACATGCGTTTATGGTAAACCTAGATCTAGATGAGCCAACCCTGACCTCTGCTATAACATATTTACCGCATTTGTATATAGTAGCCAATAGTTTAATAACCACCATATTGTTCAATTAGCCTTGACAATGAACTTAAACCGTCAACAACTGATTCCTTGTGCAACTTGACCCAAACCCACCTACTGCTCTGGTTATTGTGGCCTGAAGGTATCAAATGCTTACCATGTTTGCAGGAATTTGGCTTAGTTCATATAAGGCAGAAACTTCTTTTTTGCCTCGAACTACATCATTAAATCAAATACAGATGGTAGGGAAATGCGTAAACTGAGATGAAAAGGGAAAAAACCCCAAATCATATCTCCAAATAGCACCCAAGGAAAAGCAACTCTAACAACAGCAAGAAACTCAACAGTCTTATTCCAAAAACCATATCAGAAAAGGGAAAACATTGGTCTGGGACAACTGAAAGCAAGAAAATTTGATGCACGAGAGCTGAAATTACAAAAGAGAAGCAAGTAAAAGAGATAACACTGAAATGGAGTGTACAAAAAACAAAGTAAGCATGCATACTTTTTGAAGCATAGCTTTTGCCGTAAGCCATTTCCCCGTTGACCAGAAAATCGAATGGTGCACCTGGTACAATTGAGATAAACGGTCAGCACGGGGAGAATAAGAAAACCAAGCATGCATGCTTTTCTAGGTGAGGTGTAAAAAAGATAAAACCTTTGTTCGCTTCCTCTGGGCATGAATGTTAATCTTTCCAGTGAGCTGCAAAAACGAAATCAGCAAAAGAAAATCAAAAGTTGACTTAAACGAAGTATGGAGTTCACCATCAACTCTATGCCTCCATCAAAATGAATCAAGAATCATCATAGCAATCCATGATGCACAGCAGGATAGGGACAGCCGGACAGGTAATTCACTCGACCGAAAACTTAATTCTAAGATGCACACTCAAAGTGAAGAGTATCCGAGATAAGGATACATTAAATACAGAAAGAAACTAACAAAAATCTCTGATAGGAAAATAAAACACACCAATAAGACAAACAGCCATCAGAGCACAGAAGTCCTCAGAGCCTGAGAGTTCAGAAATTACATATTTCCATTTCTAAAGACGTGACAATGAAATCCATCTAAAAAGAAGAGACTAACAAAATTGTTTTCTAATAATCTGACTTCATTAGTTTGAAGAGCCTTATACTCTTTCCAATCAAATTTTAAGCACAGATTCAACAGAAACCACATATGGAATATTGGTGGAACAAAGAAAAAACAATGGGTCAATGGCTACTAAAACATAGTCTTAGTCTCTTAGATAAAACCTAGAACACCCTAATCAATGTCTCATTCAAAAGAAATCAAACCTCTTCAACTATGACTCCTCTGGACACATCGGGAAACTTCTGATACAGTTCATCCAACGTATCTAAGTTAGCTGTGTAAAGATTTCCAACTCGCACCCCAAGCCAAGGTTGTGGAACCTGCCTGTGTGACATAAAAACCCATGTTAAAAAGCACAGATTTTCCGTTCAACATAGTTTAGCACCCAATACAAACGTACAAGAAGGGACCAAGCAAGATACTCCAACTCGAAAGACACTGTAAGTCTGTAACTTGCAGCAGCTCTTTTGCAAGTAAAACAGAAAATATGAGCTGAAAGGTACAGTAATATCTTAAAAGCACATGTGTTTAGGAGCTTCATTAAATTAAAAAAAGTTCCAGCTCGGGTAAAAAAAGAAGTTACAGCTCGGAGAAAAAAAGAGTTTCAATTTTAGCCCGACACACCTAAACAAAGAGCTGAGGACACTCAACAACAACCCAGTTGGAACCCACAAAAGTAGGGTCTAGGGAGGGTGTGTGTACACAGACCTTGCCCCTACCCGAAAGTAGAGAGGCTGTTTCCAAGAGACCGCCGGCTCAAGCTGCACAAAAAGAACTGAGGACACTCAAAAAAACTCAATCCCATGAAAAGTAACAAATTCATTCAGAGTCATGCCATTTAAACAATGAGAAAGACATAATGATGACCATGCGATGCTAACCAAATTCATACGAAGAAATAGATGCACACACTACAGAAATATATTTGCCTGCCTTCTTTTCCAAAACTATTTACAAGAAAAAAGTAGCTTCAGCCTTCAGCTGAATGAAATAAGAGCTGAAGAACACAGTGAGTCAGTGGTATACCAGGATGTTAAAATTACACCAAAAATAATAAGCTCAACGCATCAGCATCCAAATTAAGGCTGTCATTAATACAGAAAGTAGCCTCAGACAAGGGAAAACTTCAAATTTAAGCAGCACGCCTTTCCATCACATGTGTCTAAAGTCAAATTATCTTTTATCGACCAAATGAATTCATGTGAAAATACCAAATGAATTCATGAGAAAACTCTTGATCATGCTTATTAAATTGAATCTCCATAATTTTTTATGGATAGTTTTGCATATGAAAATACAAAGAAGATTTGTAAGAGTTTGATGAAAAGTTGAATAAACTCTTGAGGAATCAGATCATAACTGGAGTATATACTTTATCTTAATGAATCATAAAAGAGTATATCAATTATAAAATAACATTACGAACCAGCAGATTCCAATCTCAAGAAACAGAATGATACAAGATTTAAGGAAAATATTTTAAAACATTACCCATTTCTCTTCAAGTTCTCCAAACATTTCCAAACTATAGTAATTGGTACAAATGTAGCAAATGGGCAGATGAAGAAGTTGACACCAATGACTTCTCCGTCGCAATTGACAAGGGGTCCCCCAACAGCAAGCTGTAATGAATCCAAGTTTTCAACAAGATGAAGTAAAGATGCATTGTAATTATTAAGCAAAAACAGTAGCATCCGAAGGATGCAAAGTTAACCGGGAGCAACAATGTCGCAAAAGCTACAATCTCTGGCAGGATAAATAGGGGTCGGATGGGTCCCGAAAGAGCCAATATGAAAGTTGTATCCAACTGCCGAAATGCAAATTTAACAAAAGCACGAAGTGGAAGGACAAGAACGGAATTACCTTACTAACCACACAGCTCGTCATGAAAAGTTCTTCGTAATCGTGACAACAATCTTGAGCACTGATCAATAAGAAAATAATACATGAATGAGTGACAAGGGTGTACAGGAAGGTCAGCAGGCGTAGGATTAGTCACCTGTGTGCTGATATTATATTCAGGTATGATGAACTGTAATTTATGACCTTTGATAGTCTTGTTTCCCCAGTACCTAAAAACCCTCCAGCATTTAAGGGCAAGGAGGGAGGAAGCTTAGTTACACAATCTTTACATTGCAAAGATTATTTTTTAACCAACCCAAATACCGAAAAACGGGGTGAGCATCTATCGCTTGTTTGCTTCATGAAAAAGCACATATGAATTTATTTGCTTCATAAGAAGTACATAGGAATTAGAAGCCAGGCTTGTTTGATTTACATGTCATCAGGGCTAAATTTGACCCCTTAATTATTTTTCTCATCATGTAGCATCAAATATCTTATTTAGGCATTTGTAAATATTTAATAAAGGAAAACACCATCTCATTAAATTTTAGCTTGACTTACATCCTAAACAATTCATGGTCAAAGAGTGTAAGATAATCTTACTGGCATGGAAAAAGTATACCAAAAACACACATCATGCAACACGTTAAGAAGATAAATACATACCTAAATACACCAGGAGAAGCCATGATGTCATAACGATCCCCACAATCACGGCCTAAAGCTATTACAAGCTTCCCGGGACTGAGATTGAAGGGCGTAGAAGTATTTGGTAAATGCTGACATCGGCTTAGTACAGGCTTCTTCGAAACTAATTCTAAAGAATTAGTAACATCACGAATACTTGCAGTTGACAAAAATTTGCTAGACATGATCTTGATAGTTGCTACATTATAACAAAAGTCATAGAACAAGACTTGACCTTCATATAATTCACCATTAAATAAATATATATCAACCTGCAATAGCATAATCATTTGTGTTAGCCGACAAGAAGTGATTTTCGGAAATAAGGTTTTGTTACTGTAAAAGCCAAATGAGAGATTAAAAAAAACTACTCCCTCCGTCCAAGTTGAAACTTCCCATTTGGACTTGGCACGAATTTTTATGTAAGAAGAAAAATGCATTGACTTTCCACTTTTACCCTCCCTCTTTTTGCCTCAGTGCCCATGCCCAGTGTAGTGTCTCAATCTTTTTCAACCAATTCATCTCTTCTTCATGAAGTTCAAAATATCTTCTTTTTCAAAAAGTTAAAAATTAAAATAACATTACAAATAAAATCAAAATAAAAAAATCAAAATCAAATCTTTAGGGTTGCAATTAATAAAATAAGGTGATGAGCTGATGAAGAAATCCAAAATGAAATCTAAGCTTTTTACTCAATCACCGCCGCCCCTGTGTCTCCCACCATTTCCGACCCTTTTTGTCTTGCATCGCCTCTCATCTGGTCATAGAGGCAAAAAATTGCTGGAAATCATAATTTCGAGTCTGCATAAGCCGATGACCAATAGCGGTGGACATAAGTTGATGGAAATTGGAGAGAAGAGGGATGAGGGTGGAGATATGAAAAGATTTATTATTTGGAGGGGGTGGGTGGTGGTCGGAAGAAAAAGATGTGGGGGGCTGTGTGATGGAGAAGAAGAAAAAGGAGAAAGGGGTTGGGAGAAGAAGAGGAAAGAGAGAAAAAAGGGGGTGAGGTCTGACCGAAAAAAGAAAGATTGAAAGAAGGGAGTGGGTGGGGAGAGAAAAAGGAGGGGTAAAAGGGTAAGTTTAGATGTTTTTTATTTCCATTTTAGGAAACGGGAAGAATCAAATGGGACGGCTTAAAAAGGAAAGTGAGAAGAAAGATATGGGACGGAGGGAGTACAATGGTAGCACAAACAAAAGCTGGGTTCAGATATACAGTACAAAGTACGAACATTTAAAGCTTGCATAAAATATTCTTGTTTGTCTTTGTATTATCTACCCACCATTTCATTACCTAATCTACACTGCTCATTCGGGAATCCTTGTTATTGCAGTTTCAGTTCATCATTCGTTAATGGATACAAGTGCAAAGCATGTCAAATATGTATGTGGCCAAGTCAATCTTTTAAACACTAGTTTATATTGTCCAACGGAAATACAGGCCCACACAAACATCAAAGTCAAATACACGAAAACCAGTCAAACACACAAAAGCCCAATCAATCCAGTATAACTGAACAAATTCTTTATGTGAGACTTCTAACATGCCTAGGAGCTGCATTTAACTGGTTCTCTTCATAGACTTAGCTGCAGGTTTAATACAAAAATACAAAAGAACAGATACTGACACAAGGGAAAGAATTTATATCAACTGCCTTTGAGCTTTCTGGAATGTTTGCTTACCATAGCCTATGGAATGCTAATCATACCATACATGGTTGTAAACTATAAGTTGCTGAAATGTGTGCAACAACTTTAATATCAAACCAATACCAATCTCAAGCTAGGTATTCGGCTCATCCTCAAGGCCATGAATGGAGTCTCACAAACCCAAAAAATGAAATAGGAATCATGTGCTATTCTACACCTTTCTCAAAAATATTTAATGGGTGGAAAATCAAACAGTTTTTTACTAACTCCACAAGTACACCTTGGAGAAATTAACTTGCATAGTATTTTTATGTTACTTTCCATATCTCCTACCTATTCCTTTCTCCCCCATCAACTTCTCCCCATTATTATACAATGGATCAAGATATCAATTCATGTTAACCGAACCAAAATGACTAGGCTTTGATGTTGTAGTTGCATTGTTAACATCTCATAATTGGTCAATCAAACTGGTCAAACTCCTGGTCCTGATTATACCAATTGAACCCACAGAATACAATGAAGTGTCTAGCTCTCTAAAACAACATAAAAAGCCAATAGCTACTAGACCAAGACACATGCCTCCTAATTCCATTGCAATACTCCAATTCATGCCCCAAGAGGAAGCAATGTGGGACAAAAGCTTGGTGCAAGTGTAAAACAGTGGAAACTTGATCATATTGCTCATTAAGCCACCATGCAGCATGAAGACAACAAGACAAGGAACCCATAGCTTTGAATACTGAGGTCAGATGCTAATCAACTTTGACTTCCATTTTTGGACTACAAAAAATTACTACTCCCTCCATTTCTTATTAAAGTTCTTGCTACTATTCTGCACGCACTTTAAGGTGACAACTTAACTATAGAGTTCAACAGGAATTCTATAATACCTAATTGTAATTTGTAAACTATTCTGCACACAGGATAGAATCACTGCCATGCAGAGTTTACATCCTCCAAATTGAAGATTCACATAATTCATCACCTTAAAATGCGTATCAAGGTGGTTCCAACTTCCAAATACCACCCTATGTGTGCAGAAATGAATATTATCAGCATAAGCTTTGCTTGATGCGAAAAAAATTATGTGCCACCAAATTAATCTCAACAAATCCCAGGTTGAATTTGGGGGAGTCAATATTCAACCACAGGACTACTTATTGAATCTCACTCATATGAGCAAAGGTAAACTCCCCTTTACATATCCTGGGAGCCTTATAACAGCTTCCAGACTGAAATTTGCTGACTTTGAAAGGTTACTAGTAAACTGACTGTTAGGATCACAGCTTGGAGTTCTAGGCATTTCTCCTACAGTGCTAGAATTAGATTGATCAGCTCTGTTCTTATGGGCATTGTTACCTTTTGGTCTAGGATTTTTATCCTCCCTAAGATGGTTTTAAAGAGAATAATTAGCATATGTAGAAGTTTTTTTTGGGCTGGTTCCCATGATTACATGAAATCCCATCTGGAGCAACGCGATGTTGTCTATTCCTCCAAAAGTAGCGGGCGCCTGGGTATTAAAGATATTACTGGCTGGAACAACTCTGTCATTATGAAGTAAAATTAGAACATAGCAAATAGAAAAGATGTTATTTAGGTGATATGGATTCATATCAGGTATACCAATCTTCTTCCTTCTGGGATTATATTCCTAAGCTGAGTTCTTGTCATTACTGGAGGCAAATGGTAAAGGTGAAGAATTGTTTCAGAGATATGCAGTGCAATGGTGATTACAGCCTAAAACATGGCTATGATTGGCTTTAAGGTGTTACTTAGAAGGTTTTTTAGGCTGATTGGGTTTGGAACAAACTCACCCCTCCTAAAGCTTAATTTCTGTTTTGGTTACTAATTCATTATTCATGACCAATAATAACCAAAGCTAAAATGAGGAAGTGATTTGATACTAATAATGATGGCAGCTGGTGTGGCTTCTCTTACGAGAATAGTCAGCACCTTTTTTATGAATGTGAGTTTGTTAAGAAGGTGCTCGACTTGGTCTTACAGACTCATAATATTCATTACCAACCTAACACCATCAACAAGTTTGGGGAGATTATGAAGACCTTTTGTACTAGGAACAGGCACATCCGACAGCATGGACCACTAGCCGATATGTGGGAAATGGAGGATAAGAAATGGTTTCATTCATCAGAAGTATATCAATGAACAATGATGGTGTAGGATTGTTTACTGGATTCGAGAATGTAAAAGGTAGTAAACACCAAAGTTAACCGGGAGGACTGTAGGTGGAAACACCTGTAGCCCAATTGTTATTAGAATATTGTAAAGTGCACGGGAGCTATTACACAAGGGTCTTTAGAGAGAAGAATTCAGATCCCCTCAGATCCCTTCATTTGAGGATTACACAAGGCACCACACACCCACGTCAGGCCACGTTCCTGGGTGGCGCAAGGTGATTGCCTCTGTCTTTTAGTAGCTTGTTTCATCCCTTTATTCCCTTGTCATCTAGCTAGGAAGGTGACTCCCTTGTCACGTAGCGTGTTGGACTGATTGCGTGAATGGTCGTGTTTGGAAAACAGCTTTTTGGATAGCTTTTGGCATCTTTGACTGACTTTGGCTTTTTTGACAAAGCGAACAGCCAAAACCATTGTTTGGCTAATGGCTTTTTCACTTGGGATTTTGATCCGAAAAGCCAAAATCTGAAATGCCAATGGGAGTAGCATTTGGACTTGGCTGTTATGAAAATTAATTTTTTTAAAATCATTTTTGTTGAAAGATATTTTATAATATACGTAAAAAATAAAAATAAATGTTAAAAAATTAAATACCAAAAAAAATAAAATTTAAAATTTCAAAAAAATGAAATGAGAAAATAAAAAATAAATATCATTAAAAAGTTTTATATTAATAATTTCTTATGAATTAAATGAAATTAAAATTTAATACTCCATTTAGTAAATATTTAATTTTTACATGTAAAAAGACGAAAAATAAATATCGTGTGTGTCTATATATATATATATATATATATATATATATATATATATATATATATATATATATATATATATATCTGTGTGTGTATACATATATACACATACATCTATACACATCAATAAGTCCTCCACTTCTTGGTCATGTAAATCGTCATGGGCAGGAAGTAAAAATCTGGGAGATGAATCACTCGAAATTTGAATTTTCAATCTTTCCCGCCTGAGATTTTCAAAATTCAAATTTGAATCTCTGGTTTTTTGACACGTGTCGCTCGTCAACCGAAAACCATCACTACGCCCTTTCGTCTCCCCATGTGTCATGATGGCACCGCCTGACAAGGCACATCCACAGCTTGCCACATCGTCCCTTTTTCCTTTCTGCTCGCCTATTTAAAGGCCTCGAGCCCCTTCATTCCTTCACCTTTTGCGCACATCAGCTTTTACCGGTCAAGTTCCCAGCTTTAGTCTTCCAGCTCTCCGAGTAAGTAAGCCTTTCCCTCCTCTCTCTCTTCTTTTCCCGGTCATGTCTTCAGAAAAAGATAGTCAAAACCTCTTTCTCACATGCCTACGCATCTGAGGAATCTGTCACGTCTAACTCCTCCACCAGTTATTCTTCTGACATTGAGTCTAGACCGGCTCAGCACACTCTTGTTCCCGATCCTGAACCGATCAATCAAGTACCGTGTCAGGTTTTCGTGGAAAGGGAGGAGCCGGTCAATCAGGAACCAGGTCCGTATGATCCAGACAACGAGTCTTGGGTGGAGTGGGAGGAAAGGCTCAAGAATGTCGATTACTTTTCCCTTCCCACTTTTTATGTTCTAGACATCCCCCACCCATATCTCCAAAATAGCTCAGAATAAAGCTCGTAGGAATCTCCCGGAGGGCTATGTCCTTCAATATGATGAAAATTGGCCCAACATCGTTGAGCCACACTGGGAGAGTAGGATAGGTTTTCATATCACCTCTTAGGAGGTCAGCATAGTCTCTCCTCTCCGCCCCCTCCTAGTTGAAGTCGGCCATGCCTTTAGGATTCTTCCTAGGAAATTACTCCCAAAGCCCATCGTCTTTTAAATTCCTTTGTAAATATTTGTTCTCATCTTCGCATTGATCTCTCCCTTCGTCTTTTTCTCTTCTTGTTCGAAGTCCTTCTCGGGCGACCCAGTTGTGACAAATTTGTATATTTTAAGGGTCGTAAGTTCATCTTTGACCTCCCCCATGGGTGAAAGAAAAAATTTGTTTTACCTCATCTGTCTCTCCTCTGGTCGGTCTCAGGTGGAACGATCACATCCTTAATCAAGAATTGACCGAACCGGCCACCACTCCTGACTTGGAGGAGAGTCAGGAGAAGCTGCTCCGTGGTGATCCTTATACCTGGATGACATTTCACTACGGGAGCTGGGTCTAGAGGATTGACCGGGGTGGCGAGGGTACCTCGCAGGCCCATGAAGCAGAGGGGTGTGCAGTATCCTCCCCGGGCAACACTGAAAAGGCTGAGGGCCATCGTCACTCAGGTTTGTCTTGCACCTTTTGTTTTTTCTTTACCGGTACAAGTATTTATACTTTTCTGATTTTCTTCTTCATCTTTTGTAGACATGGAGTTCGAAGAGTTCGATGTCCCCACCGGTGAGGATGTTCGAGCTACCGGTGGCTCCCAGGCGGTAACTTCCTTCAAGAATATCCCGGTCCAACAGGAGACTGGAAATTCTTGATGAGGAGGAGCCCCCACGCACCCGATCAAAAGGGAAAAGCCCTTCCCCCAAGGCCAAGGAGAAGCCCCGACAATGGGTGAAGAGGTTGCCACAACCCATCCCTCCGCCACTGCAAAAAGAGCGGAGGGTGGATTCTGAGACGGCTCACCAGTGCGTCGAAGAAGCCTTCATCAACCTAGGCTTCAAGCTGAGGGAGGTAAGTCGTATTTCTTTTTCGGGTTGTTCTGTATTATCTTTTATAAAGCTTTGACCGGGTAATTTTAATTTTGCAGGTGATGTAGGAGGTTGCTCGGTTGAAAAAGAAGAATGAGGAGCTGGCCTTAATTCTGAAGACCTATCCAAAATGGCCGGGGGGATGGGGGCTGAAAATACCCAGCTGAAGGAGAACCGCCGCCTGCTGGACGATGTCTCAGAGCTGAAGCGGGCCATGGCGAAGAAGGACGAAGACTTCCTCGGGCTGCCTGCTGCCTGGGTGGAAAAAAGCAAAGCCGATGCCGCCCGGGTGATGACGGCTACTCCTGAGGCGACCATCGAGTCCTTCAGGCTGCTGTATCGGAAACCTGAAGCGAAGAAGATGATAACTGCCATTGGATCCTATGGATTCAAGAGCGGTCAAAAGAAGGACCGGATTGCCTCCCACCAGATCCTGAAGAAAAGGGACCCAGAGTTCAGCGAAACTTCCTATGGCCTGGCCCCCATTCCTGAAGAAGGGCAAGCTCCTCCTTGTTTTTTGACATGATTCGCATTAATATTCCAGTACTTTTCGTATCCCGGTACTTTTTATTGGATGTGTTGCTTTCTTCATATATATTTTAATCGGTATATTGCTTGCTCCTAGCTGTTTTCTCTTCCGATTGATCATTAATCCTTGCCTCTAACTCGAATTTTTACTTCGATATTTTGATCTGATTAACTGCTCCCGTTAAAATAGGATTTTTTGAAGTGCCCTTACATCGTTCCTTCCAATCGGTTGAAAGAATCACCTTAATCCCTCGAGGATTTGAAAAATTCTGTAAAGTTTTCCAATGATAATACCTAACCGGGTTTTTTTTTACCGGTAGGTTGTAGATGGATGCACCTGTAACCTAGTATTTCTTTGAAGTGTTTTGACCCAGTCAAAACACTAGAGATATAACCATGTCGAATGGCTTCGAGCACTCTCTAAGACTCAAATGTACCCTTCTTCCAGGGCCTCCTCTTCCGGGTGATTAAGTATTTTAATGGCCCATTTGTGATTACCATCCCGTAGAAATGGCCTTGGTTCACCCCCCGTTCAAGTCTTCCAGAAAAGGGGGAATCCGACCCGGTCGGTGTAGGATGTATTGCGATGAATGATCCTATTCTTTTTCTTTTCATGGGCCCGTCTGGGTGTTACACGGTATGCCCATACGATATGTGGGAGCTCTTCCAATAACTTATTTCCTGCTTCTCCCAGACATTTCTTCAAACCAATCACAATGGTTCTGTTGGCGTTCTCCACTTGGCCATTTCCTTGGGGGTGTGCTACTGAAGTCCGGTTGTGTTTTATCCCAAAACTCTCCAAGTATTCAGTGAATTTTGGGTTTCTAAATTGTAGACCATTGTCCGTGACGAGATTCTTGGGGGCGCCGAATCTTGTAATGTTCTTCCATATGAATTTCTTGCACTGTTGCGTGGTTATGTTCGCCAATGCTTTGGCTTCAACCCAATTCGTAAAATAATCGATGGCCACGATCACAAACTTTTTTCTTCCTTGGGCTATTGGGAATGCACCAACGATATCAACCCCGAATCGAGCAAATGGAATGACATTTGATACGGGATGACAGTAAGTGGCCGACCTACTCGAGTGCTTGTAGAACATTTGGCATGTTCTGCATATTTGCACATACCTCTCGCAATCTTGGACGATTGTAGGCCAGTAGTATCCCAGTAGTATGATTCGCTAGGAGAGTGTGCGAGACATTTGGTGTGCTGCGCATACCCCCTCATGGACTTCAACAATCACCCGCTCTGCTTCCCGGTTGGTTAAGCATCTCAAGAGTGGTCCCCCGAATGCCTTCTTGTATAACATGTCGTTGATGACTTAGAATCGGGGTGCTCTAAGTTTAACTTTTCGCACCAGGTCATCCTGCTCTGGTAGACTTCTGTTCACCAAGTACTTCAATAAGTCATCCATCCAGTGATCATCGGCTCCTACCGTGTTGGTACCTGACCGGTCAGGTTGTTTGGCTGCCACAATCGTTGAGATTTCAAATTTTTCAATGCTAGCCTAGTCTAGGATCTCGACCCGAGCAAGCTTTGAAACATGCTTTGGTGCAAACTGCGTCAGTTTTGAAAGGAGGTTAGCATCCGCATTTTTTGCCTGGCTGGGCTATTTTAAACTCCGTGAATCCTTTCAGCACGACAGAACTAAGTCTTTGTACTGTGCCATTCATCCTTCCCGGGCTTCCATGGAATTGGTTACCTGTCCCACAATGTGGCTCCTGAGTTCTTCAAGACAAACACCATCACCCAATAACAGTGGGTACCTTCAGGTGTGAGGAATGATGTGTTTTCCTCATCCTCCTTAGCCATGTAGATTTGGTGGTAGGCACAAGAAGAAGAAAGGCAAATGCACTAACATGGGCCGCGCTTTGTCCCAACCTCAACTTTGTAGACTTGCACTGACACTCCTTTCGAAGGCGGAGTCATGGGAGGTTGTCGGCCTCTGGGTCTTGCCTTTCTTCTTCTTGTGGGCTCTGGGGATGTCCCACTCTTCGTCATCCCTCTCAATTGAGATACAATGACCCTCGAGGGTGCTTTGGGAAAGGCGTGCACACAGGGGAGGGCACGATGCAGTGCACCGGTCAGATTAACGGGGGCCATGGCGCTGACCACCTGTGGCTGGAAGAGTGATGGCTGAGGCACCGGCGTCTGGAAGCGTGACGCTGTCATCAGAGCCTATAGCGGCAACGGGTTGTTAAACTGGCTTGAAGACATTCTAAGAGTGGTGTTTGTAGGAAAATAATTGGAAGAACAAAACAAATGCAGATCTGTTTATAAAATACTCTGTTTATATACTCCAGATCTGATTTTTTATTGTGAACTACATTCAGGAATTCTATGTTCCTGGATTATTTATAGACATCAACCAACACAACTTTTGGTACTAATCAACACATCTATTACTAACTAATACAACTTCTAGAAATAACTACCTTTAACCTCCAGAAATAACTACCCCTGTCCCTTTTATTTTTTAAATTTAAATCTAAACTAATAACTTATGACCAGGAATTAAACAATACAATTAAATCTAACAATCACCCCCCTAATCGTTGTTTGTTCACACCAATCTTCACAATAATGTTGATTCATCATCATCTTCAATCAAATTTGCAATGTCTTCCTTTTGATCCCATTTTGGACATTCGTTCAAAAAATGTCCTAACTCATTGCACTTGAAACACTTAATGTGACTCTTATCCCGCTGAAGCCGACCGC